ACAAAAACTTACTCAAAGTGTGCATATTATGGTATTATTTTTGTACTGTATTATATTTTGCTTTAATTTCATCACCACTTAAACTAAATTTTTATTAAAATTAAAAACTTTATTAACCTCTAACACAGTATTCTACAAGTTGCAACTTAAATACTCTGTGCAAAAGATGACATACATCATGATTTCCTTTACATAAAGTTAACTAAAATAAAGAATACTTTTAAAAGACACATTAAAAATGTCACAAAATTCTATAAAAACAAACGTAAGAAAATGAACCCAAGGTTTAGAATAATCATTTGCTTGGGTGGGGAAAAGATGGGAAACATGGCAGGATCATGTGGTAAGATATAAATAATTATCAACACCCCATGTTTTGTTTTAGGGGGTAATCCTAAAGGTGCTTATAACTAGAATTAAAAAAATAACTATTATTAGAATAAAAGTTAAGTAACTACATATATAAAACAGGCCATACAATATTCAGTGGATATGAAGTACCAGAGATTGTTATGAATCCAAAGAGTAGAGAAAAAAGTTTAATTTTTAAAAGGCTCAATTTGGAAAGCAGGAGCTTATGGTGTGACTTTCCTCAGCTCTTACCCTCCAAATGTATTTTTAACAATGTTTCTTTTTTTAAGATTTTATTTACTTATTTGAGAGTGAAAGTGAGATATCACAAAAAGGGGGAGTGGCAGAGAAGAGGGAAAGGGAGGCAAAGAAGACAGAAAGGGAGAAGCAGGCTCCCAGCTGAGCAGGGAGCCCAATGCCGGGCTGGATCCCAGGACGCCGGGGATCATGACCTAAGCAAAAGGTAGACACTTAACCAACTGACCCACCCAGGCACCCCATTTTCAACAAATTTAAATAAGAAGAAAAATCATTTTCTGTTATTCTACTCTTATCACAAGAGTCTCAATCATTCACATCCTTCTCCTCCTCGTTGGCCCCCCATGAACTTTGAAATTGAGAAGAATTTTTTAATTGTCATTAACATTTTCTTCTTCAGGATCACTCATTCACTACCACCTTGCAATCTTCCCTCATTCCCTTTTTATTCACTTGTCCAATCATTCATTCAATCAGTACTTAAGAGTTATAATGAGTCAGGCTCTATACTAGGAAATAGTACCAGAGAAAGTAAATAGTGGTATAAATATGAGTTACTTGATCAGCTCTCAAGGAGCTTGTAGTCTAGTCTAAGCAGATACTACTAATAAACACAGTAAAAAGAGACAAATAATAGAGAAACAGGCAAAACTGGTACAAGGCAGGGAGGGCTGCACAGACGTAAACTGAAACAGCACTTTGCTGTTTTTTAAGGGGGAGGGAGGCTTAAAATAGAACGATAGCCTGTTCAGAGGGCCACAGGCAGCTGTAGAGGGCCAGAGTACAGGATACAAAGGAATGTGATAAGAGACAAAGCTAGAGGGCCTAAAAAAACAGAGGTCTGGATTATAGCTTGTTTGAAAACTTAGTCCCCCTCTTTCAGAAAGGGCTGTCCATTCAACTATAGAAACATCCTCTAACACAGGAATTCTTACCTTTTTTGTGCCATATGGCAGACTGGTGAAGCCTACTGATCCATTCTCAGAATGTTTGTATATGCATAAAATACAGAGGATTCCAAACAATTTTTATAGACACTCCACTCTTAAGATAGTATAGCATAAGTGTGGGCTGTGCACAGCTGCTTTCTTCTGGAACATGGTAAGGAAGGGGGAAAGTAAGTTCACAGTGGAAAATGATGACGACCCTACCCTTCAGCCAGGTGATCGAGGTTAGCAGCAGTGCTAAGTCATGTTGACCATACATACTCTTGATATGTAATGAAGGTACTTTACCTCTCTGGCAGTCTAACCATGACTGAAACATCTGGCAAATCACAACTGGGGAACATTCCACAAAATATCTGACCAATACTCTTTAAAATGGTGAAGGTCTCTCAAAAAAAGTAAAGTCTCAGATATTGTCAAAACCAAGGGGACCAGAGGAGACATGTCTAGTAAATGTAATCTAGTATATCCTGAATAGGATCCCAGGAAAGAAAAAGGACACTAGAGAAAACTGAGGAAAACTCAATAAAAAGTATATGGGCTTTAGTTAAAATAATGTAGCAACAATGGTGCAACTGTTTTGACAAACATACCCTACTAATGTACAATGTTACCAACAAGGAAAACAGGTGTGGGGTATAGAGGAACTCTCTATACTATATTTGCAATAATTCTGTACATCTAGGACTGTACTAAAACTTTCTTTAAAATATAAATAATATGCATGAGATTAGGAAGGAAATGACTTACGCTGAAAAATTATTTTTAAAAAGCAAATTTGCAGTGTAATATCTGTGCTTCTTTATTAATGCATTAAATGAGAGTATTTTCAGGCAGCCTAATTGTGGTAATTTCCATGATGGATGTAAACAGTATTTTCAGCTAGCTACAAACAAATATGAAATTACCTGAGATTGCTATACTGACAGTCAAATGTATTGCTAACACTTCCGCAATTTATAGTCTACAGTCAAAACTGAAGATATGCTAAATCTTATTTAGAGTTTAGTAAATAGAAAGATGTAATTTGTTTTTTCCTATCCAAGTTCAAGACTACTCAACTCTACCCATAGACTGCAGGTTAAGAATCATCTTCTGGGGGTTGCCTGGGTAGTTCAGTCAGTTAAGCGTCTACCTTCGGTTCAGGTCATGATCCCAGGATTCTGGGATCGAACCCCACGTCAGGTTCCCTGCTTAGCTGAGAGTCTGCTTCTCCCTCTCCCCCTGTTCATGCTCGCTCTCTCTCAAATAAAATAAATAAAATCCTTTTTTTCTTTCTTTTAATAATATCTTTTTAAAAAAAAACAAAGAAAGAAAGAAAGAAAAGAAAAAAGGGCCTCTTCTAAAGGAAAGAGAAAATCAGCACAGATGACCCTTGAACAACATGGGTTTGAGGTGCATGGGTCCACCTGTATGTGGATTTTTATAAATAAATTTATGTATAGTACTATAAATGTATTTTCCTTATGGTTTTCTTAACATTTTCTCTTCTCTAGTTTGCTTTATTGTAAGAATACAATTTATAATACATATACAAAATATGTGTTCTGTTTATATGATGGATAAGGCTTCTGGTTAACAGCAGGCTATTAGTAGTTTTTGAGGAGTCAAAAGCTATCTGTGGATTTTCAACCACATGGGAAGGGGTATTGGCATCCCCACCCACCACGCTCAAGGGTCGACTGTACCAACACTAAATGGACACTCTACTGCAGGATCTCTAATGGTCCAGACCCATACTTTATCTCATTAAGCTCTCACAACAAGCCCATCCCACAGATAAGGCAGGAGGTCCAGAGTTGAATCCTCAGTGTGTTGCTCAGCAGCTCTGCCATCTTTGACAACCCACCATAAACCACTTTAGAGGCTTTTATTTCCAACCTAGGCTTCTATTTCAATCATCATTGGCAATTGATAATAATAATAAGAGGTCTTTATTACTTAAGGATTGAAAGAAAAAATGTTTGTAGCACTTTGAACAAAATGTCAAACATTATTCACGCAATTTCTTTAATTTGGGGTTTTATTTTTAAGTTGTAAATTTTCTCTTAGAAATGTTCACAGAGGGTCTTTTGAAATGTTTTTTGTTAGTTTTAGCTGATTCTTTAAATAACAAGAGATTTGCTCTAGAGAAGGATTTTATCTTTCTTTGGAAGAAGCCAAAACCATCTCCATTTAAGGACACATAAGCAGCTGCTGCACCACATTTTAGTTACCCATAAGAAAGGGAAGCAGGCGGAGCTCACTCTACTATAAACATAAAAAAAATAAAATAAAATAGCAAATATCTCCTCCAAAATTACAGAAGAGATTTAAATATTAGAATTTGTAGGTGTGGTGATTGAGGTAAATGTAATATATAGTATAAACAAAAAATCAGAGAAAATAGGAAAATAATGCCTACCCCTTTTCCAAAGAATTCTTTCCCCAGTTCTAATCTCAAAGACAGATTGTTCTAGGAAGTTCAAATACCATTCCACTTACTCAAATTTCATCTGTATAGTAATTTTCAGGAAAACAATTGCTGCATTAAATGAGGCAATCCTTTTAGAAATATTACACACCTTAAATGTCTAACAAAAGGCACACCTATTTTCAAGAAAGCATCATTAACATTTAGAATGCCACTGATTAGGAATCTGTGATTATTTTGTTTTTACTATAAAGTTACTCTTGATACTGCCTCCACTTATTAAAATTTTAGTTAAGATTTTATGGTAGTTTATTACAGCTGTTAAAAAATCTTAAATACTGAAATTCGTGAATTGCAACTTTTCTTGGGGTAATATGTGTCAGTATAAATCGGAAAATTACTGTTCATAAATATATTGTTAAAAGTTCTACCTGAAGAAACCACAAATTAAATACATGTATTAGTTCTTACTTTATATGATAAAGCTAATTTTTTAAACTGAAATCAGTTAGTAGCCTGGTTTTCCCACACACACCCTTCCCCCATATACACAGTGGTATGAAGAAAGAGAACAAAATGAGACAGTAAAAGGTATTAAACATGATTCTGTGAAAATGTTTAATTACTGTACTGTTAGGAGCTAACGTTATGAAACTGTAGTATTAAAGCAACAGCAGCAATGGCACAATAAAAGTTGTTTGACTTAAGCCAGTAATATTCTTGCTCATTAAAATTCCTATATACCTATTTTAGTTCTTCAACATTATCACCATCAGTACACAATTATTTCTAAGCCTGAAGATTAATGAATCTTTAAAGGGAGCTTTCTACCACCCACACTTTTTTTTCCTCATTTATCTTCCATATACTTTTAAAAATTACAAGCAAAAAATGTGGCACAAAGTGTTAATGACCTTTCCATACTTAAAGTAAGATAAATGACATTCTAAAAATGTTTGGTTGTGATAAGACTATGTCTAGCCAATCATAACTTCAGAATTCTTGTGTGACATCATAAGTCCACCCTAGAGCACTTTTTCTCCTACACCTACTTCAATTGTTCCCATAAGTCCTCTAACAGAGTCAGAAAACTTTCCAACTAAACACCGATAAGACTTCATACAACTTCACAATACTCCATACTGTAATCATCACAACAGCCAAGGTAAGAAAAAGAGTTCACTGATTTTGGCAATTCTTGTTTTCTATAATTTAGAATTACTGAACTTTTTCAAGAGTTAATCATGTTTTATAAATTTCAGTTCCAGGTTAAACAATAAAATGTTTGATATGACAAAAACTTTAATTTCTAAATAAATGCATATCTGTTCGGGGACTATAAGAATAAGACTTAACTTTGAAATAATAAGGGTCACATCATCTTTAACCTTGGTTATTGGTTTGTCATTTGAATTTGACATTTTTATTTTGCTTTTCAAAAGTGAATTTCTGCCAATTAAAATATCTTTCAATTATGTTACCATATTTGGTGGTAATGGAGATTTCATTTCTTCAAGCAAAAGCAGTGGCTTCATCTCATTATCTGTAACTGTGCTGAGAAACAGCGTAGGACTGGGCTTCCAGTTATATCTGTGAAACTATCAGCAGTCATATGATTGTACAACATGCACAGTGCTGGCATTACTATTCCAACATCATCGTTATGATTCTTTACAGTAAATACTTAATAGAATTTTTTAAAATATAAGACAAACTATTCTCAAAATCCTTTGGGGGAATTTTTCCCTCTCTATAAACTCTACTCAACTTTTAAAAAACACTTCTAAAAAGAATTCCAAGATTTAATAAATTCTGTTACTTATATGAAATCCAATACCATATCATAAATAACAAGCTTGGAAATTTTAAAACACCCATCAAAAACACATGTAAAATTCTTTGTAAAGTTATAGAATACCAATTTGGCAATTTTAGAGAGATCTTATTTTGGTACAACATTCCTAAATATCTCATTTGAGTGAATTTGGTAAAAATGTTTATTCAGCCTATTAATGAATATACTGTTATCAAGTTACCACCCTCCCTGGTTTCTCATTATCCTTTCCTGCATTTAGACAGGGGTGATGAGAAAGAAGGAAATTGTTTTAAATGCCCAGAAATGAAGATGATACCATAAATTTTATGACTTCTGTTTGAATTCCACTTACTCTTGATGTTACAATTTTCAGTTTAATATACGAAATGTGTCTTCATTCTTAAATCTCTATCAGTCAGGACATAAAGGACACTTTCATATGTACGTCAAAATAAAATTTATCTCTGGAATTCCAAGTTCCTATGACAAATATTAACTCTATTGCTTTTTTCAAAAAGAACTTTGTAATTCCACAAGCAGCTTTCCTTAAAACATGCAAAAACATTTCTAATTTTTGCCTACCACTGAAGCACTGTAACTGCCTCTCAATATCTTTACATTCATAAAATGTTTTTCCTTTGATATCATAAAAGGTCTCTTGGTACAGGTGTTTGTTTACTTATTTACAAATTTTTACTCAAATACCTAACAAATTACATTCTCACACTTCAAATGGGATATTCATCAATTCTTTTATGGTACCAGAATTTTACTACATCACATATTGCTCCAAAAAGCTGAGAATTTACAGAAAGAGCACAAATTCTGCTGTTAAAGTTATCCTGAGATAAATCATGTATACAGGCTAATAAAAATTAGTTACAGTGACAGCTGTTCAAATTTCCAAACATAAATGCCCTATTGCCAAACATTATGTCCCAACTAGTTTACCTCTATCATAAGGTGACATTTAAGTATTGTCTTTGTTTACAAAGACAGGAGGCTTAAAATTAAGTGTAGAAAAAAGTATCGAATGAAATAAAATAGGAACAAATATGAAGAATGTTATGAAAAACTGGTTGTTTAAAAACATGTGAAAGAGCTAAAGTACTTGCTTTACTATGGGAAGTCAGTCATTATCATTTCCTGAAACTCAAATATTAGAATTATTTTAAAAGCATTTTAGTGGACAGTAAAGAAAATAATATTCCAGAAAAAAACAATTTGGTTCATATTTTTAATGTATTATTTCTTAACCTAATTAATTGGAGACAGAATAGTTGTATAAACAAAGTATTTGTATAAACAAAATTTGTAAAAGAAAAAAATTTTTAGGGGTGCCTGGGTGGCTCAGTTGTTAAGCATCTGCCTTCAGCTCCGGTCATGATCCTAGGGTCCTGGGATCAAGCCCCTCATCAGGTTCCCTACTCGGGGGAAATCTGCTTCTCCCTCTCCCATTCCCCCTGCTTGTGTTCCCTCTCTCACCGTGTCTCTCTTTCTCTCTCTCTCTGTCAAATAAATAAATAAATAAATCTTTAAAAAAAATCTTAATGTAGTAAATGTGTTGTGTAATAGATTATGTAATATATTAGACTATCAAATATATTAATTTTTAAGTAAAAATTAAATGTAAATATTAGATTAAGTCTCTAAGTTAGACTATGTTTATTACCAATCCTAGAAATAAATAGTCAATCAAAACTTCCTTCTTTATTTCTGAACAATCTTCTAAATGTACTGATATATACCAAAATTTCATTTTGGTATATGTGTGATACTGCATCTCTATTTTACATTAGGAAACAGACACAAAAATGTGAACTGCAAGGTCACAGAGCTAGGAAATGGTGGTGCCTTGGTTGGAGCCAAGATTTTAGAACTCTAAACCACATGCACATCACATCCAGTGATCAGCATGGCTTAAAAATACATCATGACACTGGCAAAGCAAAATCAACTAAAGTCCTCAAATACTGTTAATGGTACCCTAAATGCAAAGTCAGAGGACACACACCTCATTTAAATTCAAAACCACTCCATTTCATTGAAAGCTAACTTACACATGGGGCATTATGTCCTTAATAACCTATATAATATTCTCCTGATCACTTTTAAAGACAGGGATATAAGAAAGTTACAGATATCCTTGTTATTAAACAATAAACCATGGAAGGCAAAACTCAAAATAACTCACAGGCTTTAAAAAAAAAGATAGAACATACCACAATCAATGTTTCCTTTAATTTGTTTCATTCCTTAAATACTGATACCTTTGATCTATTTAGCCCTGATGTCTAAAATCTAGGTTAATTTTTCAAAACTTTTCACAAAACCACACACTTTTGCATTTTATTCCAGTTCCAATATTAAATCCTTACCTCAATTTCATTTCTGACCTGCTCACATTCTACCATTTAAAATATTCTACCCCATTTATTTTACAGTGCTCCAACAGAGAAATCTTGCTTTGTTATTTATGCTATGAAAATGATTTTCATCTAAACTGAATTAACAGTGTTCATCAGCGTAGCAAGAGAATAAACCTAAAGGTTAAAAATCAAGGAAATAATCTTTCTAAATTATAATGACCTAAAACAGATAATATGTAGTCTTTTGAACATTTCTAGAAATTGTACTTCGATGTTCTTACCCTACATTAATTCTGAAGCATATATTACCAAATAAACACAGTAAAATGAAGCCTGGGCCTACAGCTCCACCCCAGGATAATCACAGTCAACTGAGGACCTCTAGTGAATTTTAAAATGTACTCCACCTTCAGGTCTTTAAAAAAAAAAAAAAAAAAAAAAAAAAGACCATTTCACTTATATTAGTGGGGGTTTAGAGAACTAGCATTCATTTTTCCTTAAAACTTTCCTTCTGCACTCCCTTCCCACACCTTTTCCCCCAAAAGAAGAATCTGAAGTCTCAACTACTAAAGGGTTAAAAAGAATACTTTAATTGTGAATAATTTTAACATAATAAACAGATAATGAAGACAAGTCTACTGACAAAACGGCCAACAGCAATGTGACAATTTCAAAGAGAAAATCTCTCTATGCTATTGTTTAATGAATTTTCCTCAAGGCAGAGCTTTACAGCAAGGAAAACATTTCATTATGGGGTCAATTTAGGGGTTGAGAACATAGTGATTTTTATGTTTACACAATTCTTTTCATAACCGGGCAGAAGCAGCCTGAAGCTTCTTTCAAATAGCCAGTGCAGACCAACAAAGTTCTGGAATGTTGATGCCACAAAGTAACTTCAAATAGAACATCCAAGTTTAATATTAGATAATCTCAAAAGGAAAATTATTCTACCAAATTGAATTTCTGCATCCAACAGATGGATAATAAATCTATGATGAACTGTCCTGACTTGATTCAACAAGTCACAAAACATGCATATATAATCATTTCCAGGTATCTCCAGATATCTGTGAAAATGACAGTGAATAGTAAGAAAAAACAAAACCCCAAAATAATCTTAATATAGAGAGGTTCTGTACACTCAAACCTATAGAGAATTCTAACCTTCTGAACCAATTAAGTGGAAAAAGAACTCTAAAAAGTATCTGTAGGACCGCAGTGTTAGATGTGTAATACTTGAGTTTACTAGGAAAATATGCCTCCATTTACTAAAAGAAGTAAACAGCCAAAAATAAAAAAAAGCAAAATTCTGAATTCCATAAAGAATCTCAGGAATTTAAGGTTTCAGAGAGAAAGTACTCCCCAAAATTGGAAGTTCAGAAAATTATGCAAAGGACTGAAAGTACGTAAATTATAGGTGAGGATTGCTGCTCACCATATACTGCATTGTTAAATTGTTTGTTTCCTAGCAAGTCATATAAAGCAGACCACCAAAAGTTTTCCAAAGTCTACTGAGACTGAGGTTTGTTTTGCACAAGACTGCATCTAATATTACATTAAGAAATAGGACTCACTACAAAGTGAGGGCCCTTGTAGAAGCTGATATAGTACCTTTCACCCAAAATGTTGCCTACTATGGTACTTAGTTGGAAGATTAAGAGTTCCCTGTGGTTTGTCTCTTTTGTTCCTCCATTTCAAAAAACAGAATAGCATCTTGATACTTCTCAATTTCACTTTTTTTGAGCAAATGAGGAAAAGGGGATAACAAAAGACTTTATAAATCCTACAAAGAATAGTATTCTTCCCATTCCTCCAAAAATGAAAATAATCATAGATCCCACAGTATACAAAATACTGTGTGGGTACTTTTCTGCCTCTTACATGTAACTCAAGAGACAGGAATATGGCATTTCTACAACCAGATCCCTATCAAAGGATCTTTTATATTTTTCAATATTCTGATTCTATAGCCTGGGTGATTAATTAAATTTTCAAGTGTCCTTACTCCTCCTGTCCCATACAACTAATCTATATATTTCCTTTAAAAGGGGAGGTAAGACTAATTTCCATCTCCATTATTGCTGGTGCCAGGTACAAGTTCAAAACCTCCCAATACAATCCATTTATGATTATCCTAAATGAATGCTCTATTATCATCAGATAAAATGAGTATCAAGTGAAATTACTTTTAAGGATTTCCATCAAATATTGCCCTATTTACAGCTTGCCTCTAAGGAATGGAGGAACTCATCTTTAAATGTATTCATCATACCTTCATCAGTAGAGAGTTCATCTCCCTAGGGCATACCTCCTCATATTTCACCAAATACCCATCTGTACAAAGCTTCCTTCAGGTTAGTGTCAATACTAACAATTTATCTAAGCTGTAATCCTCTAAACTACATTTCTCTCTTCTGTGACAGAGACTTGAGAATACTGGAGATTATAATCTGTGTTCAACTACCAAATTCTGTTATTCTAACTGGTTAATCTGTTAGTCCCAGCACTACTTTTGATCATTAACAATTTTAAGAATCCCTCATTCAGCTTCACTCAAATAGTTGTACTATTTGTTACTCAAATAGTAACAGCTATGCACTGCATACTAGAATACAAAATAAACATGCAGAGTTCCTTATACTCATGATCTACAAGTCTACCTGGGGACATGTGAATCAAAATTAGAGCACAGCCAGATAGCTCTCCTGAAATAGGTTAACACTAAAGCCCTACTGAAAACCAGAGGAGATAACCAATTCTACTTAATGAGTAATGGAAAGTTTCATTAGGAAGTGATATCTAAACTGGGCCTTAAGGATCAACTGAAGTTTGCCTGGCAAAGAATCAAAGGTAGAGCGGGGGGGTAGAGGGTAGACATTCCAGGCACAGCCAGAACAACATGTGCAAAAGACAGAATCAAAAAAGGCAATGAAGTATTTATGGAAAGGTGACATGTTTCATGTGACTAAAGTCCCACTCATCAAAGTGTCGGGGTAGGGAATGACTCTTGCATATATGCTTCATGATGAACAACTAGCCAGCTTCCTCCTTTTCCATGTTTTTTCTCGAAGTAATTTTTAAAATCAGAACTTACTGACCATTTAAGTCATGAAACTTCATAAAAATGTAAGTTCTAATAGGAATGACCAATGCTAGTTTTTATTCCTTTCTTAACTATTCTGTTATACATTCTCACATGAACTAATCAAATACATAAAAGAATGAATCTTCCCCACATTTAACCAATAGCAGAAAAAAACTTAAAGCATGCATTTTCTTAAATGACGAAATAAAAAAGGCTTTATTTCTACAGTATTTTATCTGAGGAATTCAAACAAAAGTAATTAAATTAAATTTAAAAACACACTTAAGATGCCATCTACCAAGTAGTAGGGGTGTTAACAGCCCTTGTGTTGGACAACGAAGAATATATGTTACAGTCATATATATGTCAGGGAAACACAGGTTTTACCAACTCTTTAAGGGAATGAAGTTTGATGTTAAGTTAGCTGTTTGGATCTCCTCACTATAGATCAATACTAGAAGGAGGCCAGAGTCTCCAGCCAAATGAAAGCACAATCTAGTATATAATTCAAAGCTAATAGAGCCAAACTGAGGTACTGAAACTACAGAATCTAACAACAATTTACTACATGCTTTCTTTGTAAACCTAAATTCCTAGTTCTCACTGATCATGCCTGAAATACATCTTCCCTCTCCCATTCTTTCAGTTCTCCTCTCTGCTCTCTCCAGCACTAGCCTCTCTCAATAGAGCTGACCGCTTTATCTGGGCTTTCGTGGAATGTGGAGAGATTAGGGAGAAAATGAAATCTGGATACTGGGATAGGTGGTAATATCTTGATCAACAATGATATATCAACAAATGTTAACAGCAGTTAAATTACAGGCTTTTTAAGAAAAATTCCATCTCTAATTTCTATTTCAAAATTTATAAAGAAATATCATAACTGACAACAAAATATCCCCGTCTTAGTAACTATTATCTCTAGATGCTTAATTTACAGATAATTTCTAACCTCTAATTTTTCTATAATAATGCATTATTTTATTTTTGTTTCACTTATTACCTACCACAACTAATTAATTAGACAGAATAACTTATGGAAGCTCTGAAAGAAAGCAAATGAAAACCACCATTCTTGAGTACAGGTCATTTCTAAACAGGGACTGTCTGTGGTACACAGTGAGATAATGATAATTTTTTTTAAAGATTTATTTATTTTAGGGAGAGGGAGAAGAAGAGCATGTGTGCATACATGCAGAGGAGAGGGACAGAGGAAAAGAGAAACTTAAGCAGACTCCATGCTGAGTGTGGAGCCTGATGGGAGTGCTAGATCTCATGACCCTGAGGATCACGACCTGAGCCAAAACCAAGAACGGACGCTGAACCACCACTGAGTTGCCCCAAGATGATCATTTTATTACTATGCTTTCTGAGCCTGAGAGTCTTCAGTACTTAATATCCAGTCTTGTTAAAATGTTACTCAAAATAGCATATTCTATAAAACTACAAAATCATAAAAAGGGATGACAAACATGTAAATCTATAGTTCTGCTATAATACTTCCCATTTAACTTTTATTTTGGACTAAAATCAACATCTGCAAAGTAATTTCTTACATGCATTTGTTTTTATGAGATTTTCTCTGATGCTATTAATACACTAATATTCACAACAGTTATGCTCACAGAGAAATAGTCTTTATGAAACCGTATGTGAGAACTTTCGCTCAAGGAAATCGTCTGAAATGAGCTGCACCCTAAACCAAACTATACTTCTAGTCATTTTGAGGAGGAAGCAAAGACTTAAGTTCTTACACTCCAAATACAAGACAAAAAAGACATCATGGTGACCCTCACCAAAAAAGACTACATATTTGATGTCATAAATACAAATATTGAGGAAGATGAATTAATACGAAATTGTGTCTTTACCTGTTCAGAGAATAGGTTACATGCATGATCCTAATCCATTCACTATTTTTACATTCCAGGCTATCCAAAAGAAGAGAGTGACGGAGCTCCTATTTGGCTGCCAGCTTTTTACCTTTCTCTTCACCACTTAAAACCTGAGACTTCCTGCTTTCCTGGGGTCATGGAGAAAGTCCAATACCTCACTCGCTCTGCTATAAGAAGAGCTTCAACCATTGAAATGCCTCAACAAGCACGCCAAAATCTTCAGAACCTATTTATAAATTTCTGTCTCATTTTAATATGTCTCTTATTGATCTGCATCATTGTGATGCTTCTCTGAAGTTCTGCTGCAATCTCCAGTGATGCAACTTGTCACCATCAGCTTAAAATATGTCATCCCATGAAGAGGGGGGAAAAAGTACTACATAACAGACCACTTCCTAAGTAAAAGAATTTCCTTTGAAAAGGTCAAGATTCAGGACAAAACAAATTTTTAGCAAATGTATTCACCCGTGGGATTGTGTAAACATGAAAAGAGCTTTATCTTCAAAAATTCAAAATGACTGTAAGTGTGCATAATGTAACTGTTGAATTCAGAAACTTACAGAGCTTCTAAGTTTCTATCCCACATCTTCTCTGAGGATGAAGTAGCTTTAGTTTTGAAATTGCACTGCTAACCAGTTCATTTCACTTATAAAGCATTAGCTTCACTCTTGGGGGTAAATATAATTTATATTGTACTGTAAAAGCCTCCGTGATGTTTATTATTTTTCAGGTCTTCACCAAGTACCAAAATAATCATTCAAATGAAGAGTCATCATTTGAAATAGCCTACTGATTTCTCACATCTGTTATCTTATTATCTTCAGAACTCTTTGTAGTAACTCGCATAACCTACATTATAAAATAGAAATTGTATTATTCTTTCTTTGTACTACACTAACATTTTTTAAAGTTTATGAGAACCAAGTAGGAAAAGTAGGGCCATACTCTAACATAAATAAAATTTCTCTTAACCAACTTTTTCAAAGAATTACAGAATTCTAGTATATGAAGACAAACCATAAATCCGTTCTCCGTAGTACATTATGATCAGCAGACAAGAACTACTGGTTAACTTAACAGCTGACAGAATGATTAGCCATAATTACTAATACACTAACAGAAGAGAGTCTAACCTAACTTCAGGCACTGTAGTTGATCATCTATGTAAGTAACTTAATCACACTATGTCTTTGAAATTATGAAATCTTAAGACTTTAGGATGATTTTATAGATTGTCTTCTATTCTTAAGCTCAGCCTCAATATAGGCAAGAAGAAGAATTTTAAAAAGGAATAAAAGGAAAATGCATTCTTTTAAGCATTAAAAGAAATAAAATTTTGGGTTCCCTAAAATTAATTCTTTGATCACCTTTTGACAGGACCTTTTTGTCCTACAGTTCATAATAGAATAGAACTATTTTTCTTAACCTGTCAACCAAATGGTCAATACCTACTTGGAAGGCCATTCTACCATGCTAAATTATAAACCCAGCAATATTAATCTACAATTTTTTTTTCTTTTTTGCTGAATACACGTTCAATTTCCTCTCTCATCACTTAAAAATACCCTCCTACTCATAACAAGTAAAATTTGGTACTGGAAAATACATTCATTAATTTGTTAATTTATCTTGATTCAGTTTAGCATTAGGCCTAAAGTGGTTTATACCTATACTGCATAATCTAGTAATTTTAACTTTAAGACATAATACTAATATAGCAATACTAAAAGAGTAGAGAACACATAATTTACTGTATGATTTGCTAAAATGTGGTTACTAAAAGAATTTGAGAAGTCAGTACTGACCTTTATATGCAAGTGCAACTAACAGATTAATCAAGAAGACACAGTTATAAATTTTTTCTGGGTACCCGACAGGTACTAGAGATCGGGGGGTAGTTTTGATTCACTGATATTTGAGGAACAGACGAAAAAGGATCTCATACTGACGGGGAGATTTCAGCGAAGCCTCATCTATGGGCTGGAGATCCCTACTATCAACTAAGTGGCTTAAAAATAATAAGCAATACATTCACATCACTGGTATAATTACTTGTGAAAAAAGTAACCAAGTTCTATAATTAGCTGCACTGATGTTAATATGTGAAAACCTGAAATGCTAAATTCTGTTCCTTTCATTGTATTGTTCATTATTACAACATCAACATCAAACTAGAAAATGTGAAGTTATGGAGTATTTCCCTAAGTAAAATAGAAATAAGTTTTTTGTTTTTCTTTCTGACTTTAAGTGAAATTAAAAACCTTTTTCTTGAGGATTAAAGTATACTGTAATTCAGATTATAAAGTAGAACCAAAAAACCTATTCTTTAAATGGAACTTATTTATTCTGTTTATCATTATATGTAAAGAGTAAGATATAATAAAACAATGTATTTAAAATTTTTAAATACCAAATGTTCTTTCTACTAGAGAATAAAGTTTAATCTTAACTTCCAGGATACTACAAATGAACTAATTTTTAAATGTTTAATGTTGCCCTTTATATAGTAGTTGTTTCAAAGTATTTATTTAATCCAAATCACCTATATCAAAAAGAACCTTTTTGAACTCAGTGAAATCGTTTTGTTTTTTTTTTTTTAAGATTTTTTAATTTATTTATTTGACAGACAGAGATCACAAGTAGGCAGAGAGGCAGGCAGAGAGAGGAAGGGAAGCAGGCTCCCCGCTGAGCAGAGAGCCCGATGCGATGGGAGGCTCGATCCCAGGACCCTGGGATCATGACCCGAGCCGAAGGCAGAGGCTTTAACCCACTGAGCCAACCCAGGTGCCCCGAAATCGCTTTTTAATACAACTCATGATTGATATGGCCATAAAACAATCAATATAAGCAGTTTCGGTTTTGTAGATTGTTTTCAGTGAGTGACTTTTCTCAAAGTAAGATCAAGATTTCCTCATATAGACACAAGAGGGCAGACCTACATAAAATAATGAATTTTCTACACTTTAGATTTTATTTCTCCTCTAATTATTTTTTAGTCTTCTGGCAAAGTGAGAAACCAGTAAGTTTTTTTTTTTTAATTTGCTCTTTTGATGTATAAAATTACAAGCCAATACTATGTAGAAAAGTTGAAAGATTAAAAAAGGTCAAACATATTACTAATTTATTAAAGCATATATACAAAATGCTTTTTAACTACCAAGTGAATGTGTCATATTGTCACATCCTATCTAGAGTGTCATAGGGTTCACAGCTTTCAGTGCAGTTAGATCTTAAACAGTAAATAAAAAGGACAAAAATAAGAAAAAACAAGAAAACTATTTCTTTTCAGAGTATGCAATAGAATACATAAAACACTCTCATGTTAAAAATAAACCTTTTTCATTTTTTAATCATGTTAAATAAAAACCAAGTCATTTAAGTCATTTTATCCAATTTTTATTTACATTCTTGATTTATATAAAGTTTTCAGCAAAATATGCTGAAATCACTAGGTGTCAATATTTTGGCTGACCAAGCCTCATCATGATTTAAGTGGGGTACAAAATTTTATCTTCCTCTCTTTAAAAAATGATTGCAACCCAGAACTTAGAAACATCCTAGGGAATGTAAGAGAAAAGAAGATAACCAACTTCCTCAATAAACAGACCATTTCTTCACTTCTGTCTGAAAAGATGCACTGTGAGCTTAAAGGAATCCAATGGATACTGTTGTGTGTAGAGGTATACACCTTGCATGCCCTTCCCCCATTCTCCCATCCTCCAGAAAAGAAATAAAAGAAGGAAATGGTAAGGGATACATTCTTTCCAAAGAGAAGGCAAGACTCTGGTGGTCTTTCTTTTCTGCTGTAGGGTCAGAAAGGTTTTGGGGAAGGTGGGAGGAGAGGGGTGACACAGAACAGAGGAAAGACCCAAAGACAGTTTGCACATGGAGGTCTATATTCTAACCACCTAAAGGCATAGATAGCCTCTCTTCATTTACAAAGGAAAATGTTTCAGAGTACTACTCTACCTGCATTCTAGCTGAGTTAGTAGGAAATCATGGGAATCCAGGAATAGCATGAGCATGTGACTGTGAAGCTGACTCAATGATTATTCCTAAGAGCCAAGCCACATTACAATATTAACCTTTGGAGGGAGAAAAGCAGGGAAAGAAACTGTGCAGAGATCAAATGAGATAAACACTTTTGAGAGCTACTAGGTTCTATATAAATCTATGGTGGTGTTAGATTATGACTCTGCCAAATTCCTTTCCTTGGTTGTAAAGAGAGAGGCTTCTTTCATGGTGAGAGTTTAGGAGCTGTGCCTAAAATTCATACACATTCTCACAATTTATCAGATGATCTGATCCTTACTATGGCTCTTTCCTTTATGTAAAAATTAGACAAAAAGGAAGTCAATTCTTTAAAAGGTCTTTTAAGAAACAACTAAGATAACTTTTATAATAAAGACAGCACTTGGAGGCTCCAAGGAGAAGGTATTTAAGAACTGTTTTCTGTAATAGTCCAAGAAGGGAATGAGAAGAGAAGGGATCATTTAAACATGACAACTGAAGTGTCTTCAGTTTTCTTTACCTGCTTTCATCTCTCTACTATAACACTTAGGAGCACAACGAAGAGACCCTTTCAAATACGGTTCATCAAAAAGCAGGACATGTCAGGGTGTGTGCAAATGTTGTCCTCTAGTAGCCTTCTTCTTCTATCATGTACTAGGTAGAAGATTTAAATATAAGTTTGGCTCTACAGTGCACCTCCAAGCTTCTTACCCTCTTTGCATAGCTTCAAGGTTAGGAAAAACTCCAAAGCAGAGGGTTTTCCAAGTAGAGTAAAAGAAGTAAATTAGTACTCACTCCCTTAAATTCATCCAATTTGCTCAGTTATCTTTCTATCACACCTTCAGGTTGGAATATTATTACTTAGCACCCCATGGACAACTACAATTCTGTGCACACATACCAGCTTGAGAAATAACTGCCTGATCCCTGTTCTCATATAATCACAGAGCATTTGAGAACTAAAATATAACAGCATTTTAAAAATTAGGTTTCTGGAGTGCCCAGGTGGCTCAGTCGGTTAGGCATCTGCCTTTGGCTCAGGGCATGATACCAGAGTCCTGGGATCGAGTCCTACATTGGGAAATCCCTACTCAGCAGGGAGTCTGCTTCTCCCTTCCACTCTCCCTCTGTGCTCTCTCTCAAATAAATAAACAAAATCTTTTCAAAAAAAGATTTTTTTTTAATTATAAAAATTAGCTTTCCTATCTTTCAATCACTTGAACTGATAAATCACAAATCTGGTTAAATTGCTCTTCTCTGATTTATATTTCAAACATCATAATAATGCTTCCTTTTGGTTACGTGGTTTTTATAAATAATCAAGATTGTTCAGTACTGTGCCCAAAACAAGAATACATGGGATGTGTTCAGGATTCCCCTGTAAATGTAGCATATTCAGGTGTGTGTATGTTTTGGAACTCAGATTTGCGACGTTTCTAGATAAGTGATCTCCTTACCCTTTCATAGGATATATTTCTTTAATCTTTACTATTTTTTATTAGTAGCAGTAATGAATAGTAATTTTAAATGCTTTCTCTAAGGGAAATTTTATAATTTCTGATAGGATTAGTTTCAGAAAATTCTCGTAATAAAAAACGGATGATAAGATTTATAAAAAAATTTTACAGATAATTGCTTTCCCAGTTAAAATGAGCTGTGGAAATTACTCTGGAAAAAAAAATTTCCACATCAAGAAATGTACATATTTACATGTTACTTTAGGGGATACATGCCACTTTTATTTAATGTGATATTTTATAAAATGCTTTCCTCAAACTGATTAATCTTTTTTTTAAGATTTTATTTATTTGAGAGAGGAAGAGTGCACACAAACAAGGGGAGTGGCAGGCAGAGGGAGAGGGAGAAGCAGGCTCCCCACTGAGCAGGGATCCCAATGTGGGGCTCAATCCCAAGACCCTGAGATCATGACCTGAGGCAAAGGCAGATGCTCAACTGACTAAGCCACCCATGTGCCCCCTGATTAATAAATCCTGATACCCAACTTAATCTTTTTTTTTGCTTACAAACCTAAATATATATCAAGCACCACCAAAACTTTAAAAATGACTTTAGTTCCACCTCCTCATTTCATAGACGAAGAAATGAGAAGACATGCAGCTAGCCAACAGACCCATGAAAAGGTGCCCAACATCACTATCAGGGAAATGCAGATCAAAACCACAATGAGCTATCACCTCACATCTGTTAGAATAGTCATGATCAAAAAGACAAGAGATTACAGGTATTGGCAAGGATGTGGAGAAAAGACAAAACCTT